CAGTTGCCGAATCCTCTCAACGACTATCGCAACCCCGCGTGTCATATTTTCCGCCGCCGCCTCGTACGACCCCCCTTGTGCCAGTACCAGCGTGTCGTCAGCGTAGCAAACTAAGCTGACGCCGGTAGGGAGGTCGGCGCGCAGCACCCAGTCGTAACCGATGTTCCACAGAGGTGGCCCCAGAACCGAACCCTGTGGGACACCGCACGACATCTCTCGCCGGTTCCACTCACCGTTGCGACCGGGGTAGATGACGGCCCTGTCCGTCAGGTAGTCCCCGACTATACGACGGAGATAGGTCGGCACCCGGTGATACCGGAGTGCCTCCCTAATGCAGCTCCAGGGCATGGAGTTGAAGGCGTTGGCGATGTCGAGAGACACCGCCAAGACAACCCCCCCTCTGGCCACTGCATCCCCCGTCGTGAGGGCTCTCACGCGCATGAACGTCCACCGTAGAGCACCTCTTGCGGAAACCAAATTCAAGGGTATTTTAAGATGAAAATATCTATTGTCTTTTTATTAATTCTCGCGCAATACTATGTTTGTCAGTACGAGGCTGCGGTTTGAAAACCTTCCTTCTACATCGGTTGTGGTTTCGTCGTGCTGTAGGTATGGCTGACTCATTGTCAGCTCAACCTACTGATTTGGTATTTGCTAGATTATGTCATTTTCTTTTATTCTTCCGCGAACATCCTTGTTACGCATTTTCACGGCATAATTTTATACAATATGAAAGTAAGGGTGACAAACGGGCACACAACCCACCTAATTATAAATAGAAGCCGTAGGCTCAGCAATCAACATGCAGTTGCGTTGTCACCCCCGAGGACTAACCAGAACCTAATAATACCACAGCCATGGTATTGGAAATGATTTGCAACATCCGAAAAAATGAGACAATAGATGTGATCTGCCATATTAAATATTTTCGTTTAACGTCTTTTCAAAATAAAATTGGTGACATTATCGGTTTCACTACGGAATCAATTAATCATTTGTATCGCATAGGTGATTTTGCGCGTGCAATATATGTTACCACTAGTTTAACCACAAGAACCAATGCAGAACGAGTTAATTGTCATTCAAGTGCGTGTCAATTGACACCAGCCAACTAATTTAATACGCATAGTAAGTTGTATGTTATTGTGTTAAGATGTTGTAAAAGAGAGGGGGAAACTAGCATGTGGTGCGGCTCACCTGATGTAAGTGACTACCGTCGCCGGCGAAGAACAACTGCAACACCAGGGTAATCGCAGGTGCGTTATCGGACTTTAAAAAGAGTAGACCCTTTTCTTGAAGATCCCTAAATCGTATCGGTTTGAAAAAATTGTTGGTGATAACCGATTCCAAAAAGAAGTCGTGCAAGGACAGAAACTCCTAGTGAATCCAAGTATCCAGATGAAGTGGATGGCATCGTGAATTAGGTCGCGACGTGCGATGGTGAAATTTGGCCGCTGAAATCAATTCGACCAAATCCTCTGAGTACGTACTCTCCGTGGTAAATGCGATAGAAAATGCAAAGGGATACTACATATAAACAGCGATCTACTCTACGGTGATCACTTTTCGAAGAAAGTACTTGTATTAAAAGTCTTACTTCTACTAACTAACCTATATTTTAACCCTATATTATAACTACATAATAATAATATAGGGTACTGGATTATCTTAGGCCTCCATTACACAGCAGATTTTTTTAAACAATTAAATAAACATAATCCAGGATTTATGTAGATTATCATTTATTATTAGTGTGATTGATTTAAATAATAAATATCGTTAATTAAAGTAATATAAACCGATAATACCACGCTGATAATTGATAATCATTGTTACTATAGCTCCTATATTAGCAATAAACTTCAATACGTGTATGGATTCCGGCCCGTTTTTTCTGTATACATGAATTCTATTAGAAAAGTAGTCCAGTTGTTTACTCGAATGCAAAGAAAATATTAACCAGCCTATTTTTGTTCGACGGTCTTTTAATAAGATATTTAAAAAATTGTTTGCTTGAGCAAATGCTTGTGCATTTTTGTAATAATAGAATATTGCAAAACCGACAGTTTGATGTTATGAACGGAAGACGAATCGAAAGCTGGCACTTAATTATGTAGCATTGATTGTATAGGTACATCATGAAATATAATCAAAGTTAAATAGGTATTTTCGGAACATTGTAATTTGTAACTATCTTCAGTGACATAACACATAACTGTTGTCTGTACGTCATCATCGTCGTTTGACTGAGTTCTGCACCATGGTCTTGGAATACACTTTACATTTAAGAAACTGGCAATAAAATTCTGTTATTTTTGCATTTTTAAGATAGTCAAGGATATTGAAAATAAAATTAAAAAATCTTTAAAAAAGTTGTGAAAAGTTGTTTTTATGTTATAGATGGCCAGTATTTTTTAGTAATTGCTCTTATTAATAATGTTTTTCTATACAACAGCACTATTAATAGGTACTGAAGTCAATCATCACCATAAGTCCGCTGCTGAATATAGGCTGTTGCAAAAAAATGGCAAATATTTATTTTTGTCCAAAATGTTTAACAAGAAAATTTATTCTTATAAAAAAGGAAATACAAAAAGAATCCATTATCAGCAGAAAATATTATCTATTAATTAAATATTAATCTGCATTATATTTATTATTACTCAGTCAGGAATTCCCCAGTGAGAGTGAGAGAATAGAGAGTGCACTGCACTTCGCTGAAACTGACCGCCATGACCAAAAACCAAAATCGTATAAGGAAGCTCTATAACAAAAAAGTTTATTTACTTGCTAGCTCGCTTAGGCAGTGCTTATGCACCGATGCTCTCGTCTCGTCTGTTCACCAGCACCATCATTACAAGCGTACTGAATTCATCAAATTCTAAAAAAAAATTTAATATAAAACAAAAAAAATAAGAGAAAAATCATAATATCTACATTTAAACTATTTTCTGAGACAGGAATTGGAAACACACAAACGCACGCAAGAACAAGCGGAATAACGGACTAGCGTGGGTAGCTCATGCATGCTGACCGCCCGCCCTGCCAAACACTCTCTAGTGAAGTTTTACCCTTACACGCCTCGTGCCTTAGTTTTTACTTCCAACGTCATTACCGTATTTATTTAGGGTAATACGCTATCAGGCGAGCCTAGCCCTTAAAAAGCGAATGCCAATAAAACCGGAGCCAACGTACGCAATAAAAGCAATTTCAAGTTGAGTAATATTTCGGCAAACGATTATCTTAATGTTTCGCGAATTCTATTCATGAGTCACCATTTTTCGGCTTGTTTATTTTGATTACATTTGATTTTGATTTGATTTGATTACATTTATGTATTTCTAATCAACCTTTAAATAATTTTAATTTTGGTTGGTAACGCAAAATGTCCTCTATATACCTACGCCTAACCTAATAAATCCTACCATATTCAAAATAAATATATTATTATTTTCTTCTGACAAGTACCAATAGATTATCTTAACATTTTCATTAGTCGACTCCTATCCTGTCGAAGTCTTACGGCGGCTGTACACGCTCGTCGAGACACCACAAGACCGGCCGAGTACGAGTGTGTACATATGGTGATCTCGTCGCGTGGCGTCGCGTCGTGTCTCGTAGCCCTCGTGCGCTCTCGGAAGCGTGTCGGTTTTTTGCGCACGAGTCAAAGGGTCTTGTGAGTCGCGCGATTAAAGAGAGAGCGTACTATATTCTAGTCACGGTACAAGGTTCAGTTACAATAAATAGAAAACATCCACTTCTCATCCACTAAAATATCGTTGTACAATGTGTTCTCTGTAAATATACTCCTAAAACTATGCATTGAACATCCCTGAAACTTATATAGCAAATACATTAAGCAATATTCGCCACAAACGGAAGTCCACTCATTCTGAATCCTATCAACATTCCAGTTCCATCTTTTACAATTTCTTTTAAAAAACTCTAGATGATATCGTACAGGTGCCCGTCCGAATGAATCAAAATATTGACCGACGTCATTCGTATCGATATATAAAGCTACCCAATGTGACCCTGGTTTATCATCTGTATCCAAATTGCATATTATATACGTTGGTACGTGGGTGTACATGGGTAGTTTATTGGCAGCATAAACATTATTTTCTAGAGTGGGGTGAATCTTTTTCAGATGTTGTTGTACATCTAGTGTTTCCATGATATTACTGCTATTAGTAGATTATTACAGTACCAATCTACTCAATGACTAACATAGAAATGATCAATTATAGTGATTTTTAAATATTAAATTGCATTCTTTGTGTTATACAAAACGTATTTGAGTCATCAATACACTGTACAAAACACGACACGAAGGGCGAAGGAATGCTGAGATGAGCAACAGAATGTGAGATAAGCTTGTTGACGCATAAAGTTATCATCAATTCCACTGCAGAAATTCTTTAGATTAGAATTATTACTTACTGGTACTATATAAGACCAAGCAACTGCAGTCATTGAGTTAGTGTATGGTCGCTTGACCGCAGTGGATCTATCAATACTACGTTTGTGTTACTTCAACGCATCAAAGGCCATGGATGTAAGTGTTTATTCTATTGACAAACTTACTTTTCTTTCTGTTATTTTCTTACGTGTGTATGATTTAGTGTTAACAAATTATATTTAAATATTGTGTGTGTATGTGATTAAGCCGTGGTAGCTCAGATGGTTAGCGCAAGCTGTAAATTTCACAGTACGCGACCCGGTTTCAATCCCGCCGGCACCAATTAAATTGTTAATTGCAATTTTAAGTTCTTCACCACGGGGTGAAGGAAAACATCGTGAGGAAACCTGCATGTCTGAGAAAATTTCGAAGGCATGTGAAGTTTGCCAACGCGCATTGAGGTAGCGCAGCGAACATTTCCTAGCCCTAAAACCCTCTCAAAAATGAGAGGAGGTCTATGTTTAGCAGTGGACTTTAATAGGCTGTAACTTTAACTTTTTTAACTTTTATGATTAAGTGTTAACAAATTGATATTAACATGATAACTGTGTTGTTGCAGAAATCATTGAGCTTTGATGAAAATACCTATAAATACTACTCGCCACTCTCCCCTCAAGAAGAGACTGATGACATCGTCATTAATAATAACACATGCGATGGTGGAAAAAGAAAATCGCAATCGATTGATCATTTTTTTGAAGCTGAATCAAACATAAAAAAGAGGAAGCTGTTGTCATCAAGCGTAGCACGAGCCGCTAGAGATGGTGTATCATACATTTCTACTAATTCTGACGACGGAGACCAAGCGACGCATCTCATCAAAATTGAAATGTACGATATGAAGAAGCTATCCAAGATTCCAACTACTGATCATTGGAAACATGCTTCCACGAGGATTAAATATTACGTTAAGACTAATAAGGATAGCATCTACGACAACACAAACGCCCTCGTATACAATATTACAAAGACAATAGCAGAAAGTGAAAAAGTTAAAAAATAATTTTTTAACAATGACAGTCATTAGCTGATCATTAGTGAATGTGATTCTGTTTACTTAAATTACAGGAAGACAAGAGTAGAAGGAAGAGATGAGTTTGGCATACGTGTACAGAATACATCATTGAATAACAAAACTACAACACTGAGTGGAGAAGAAAACGAGAAGAATATGCAGTACTCAGAGGCTGAATATCCATTCTTCAGTTCAAAATCTAGCCGGTTGCTCAGTTTCGAAAATTGGCCTCTCGTTATGCGACAGAAACCTGAAGATCTTGCAGAAGCCGGTTTCTTTTATACTGGCCATGCAGACAGGACCAAGTGTTTCCATTGTGTTGGTGGTTTAAAAGATAGGGAAATTGATGATGATCCTTGGCAGCAGCATGTTCAGTGGTTTAGTCAGTGTGCTTATGTAAAATTTAAACTCGAACAGAGTTTTGTATTAGATTAAATAGAATATTTATAAAGAAATAAAAAATAATATATTGCATACAATTTGTTTTATTTAATTTTATAACGTTTCACATAGTTACATACACACAAAATGCATTACACATAACTCATAAAATCTAACACACAACACATATTATAACCTTAACTACTATAGTCTACAGTAACATTTCTGTTTTTATCTATCTCAATAATATTATCAAACTCAGCATAAACTATACAGTTAATTGTTTGTATTAGTGAGGATTCAAATCGTACTTCTAATCTTACACTACCATGCTTTATGAGATTCCAATGAGCTGATGAGTTGGCTGATAAATCAGGAGTTAAGTCAAATGCTAATAGACAGTAACCTTTGGCATACTGTTCACAAGAGATTCCATTTCCTTCATTAAGAAAGTGAATACCAGTTCCCGAGAATAGAGTATGATATGTTGATGTAAATATACTATTATTAAAAGATGGTTGCAAAGCTTTTGAAGGTATTTGTTGACCATCAATATATAAGCTGAAAGAATTAATACCATAGTTTTCAAAATTAAATGGATTTTTAGTAAGGGAGCCATTAAATGCAGAATTGTTCACAAATCCAATTATACATCTTTTGGGTACCTGCCCTAAAAATATATTATCAAGAGTTTTTCCTTGAACACCTGATGGAATTGTTAAAACTTTTACTTCAGCTCGAGTAATAGGATATTTAGCAGTGGTAGAAGCTAAAACTTTTTGATGTGCGAGTAATACACTTGGATTAATTCGTGCTCGTCGAACAATAAGAGTTGCGTCCGTAATGCAAACTTTAAACTTTACATCGTTTGACCCAGCAATTAAATTAAAGCTCTCTCTTGATCGAACCAATTTAACACTCATTTCAACACTATTAATTAAAAATTTATCTTGGTTGAAAATGACCAATCATTTCTATTTCCTTACTTTCACTAATCAATTCCTGTCTTTTAACAAATCCTATGTTTTTACCATCCGTAGAATCCATTTTTCCTGCTGTATCATCATACCAAAGACTATAAGTAAGATGAGATTGTTTACCAGCAGGAGCATTGTTTAAAAGGGTTTCTATGTATGCTCGATATGCATAGGTATTATTAGGTGGTGATACAAGTTTTTAGTTTAAATAAACATCAAGTTGACTAAAAAGTGAATGCAGCCAATTATTTACAGGTGCTACTATTGTAGTAGATATCAAGTTAGTTGAATCTTGGTTTAATACTTTTGCCTTTATGTGGAGTAATGTATGAGACAAATCTATGTAGTCATCGCCTGTCCCAGGAACTTGAAACTCGATAGGTCCATCATCACCAAGAGATGAAATTGGTTTATAATGAATCCACAATCCATTTTCAATGCTAGTTTGTGTAGGCGGTAGTGCAAACAAATCCAATTCTGACTTAACGCACTCGCAAGAATGATTATGAAGGAAAGACATATTTAATTTGAAAATATATCTTTGATATTTTTTGGTTTTAGACCAAGTTTTTTCGCAGCTTTCACTTTAGCAGTTAATGGTAGAATAAACGAGGTCAATCGTTTTCTTTTAGTTTTATAACCAGATCCTGTCACGTTAAATTGATCAATTTAACATGACAGGATCAGGATGATAAGGATTTTATACGTGGTAGAGCCATGCTGCAGTTATATTAGTAGTATAGTTGTAGCACGAATGGGTCGGCTCGACCGGGGAAGGACCACGCTCTCACAGAATACCAGCGTGAAATAGTAGCTCAATGCTGCTGTATTTCGTATGGTGAGTGCAGAGAACCGGAGACCCTTTTTACTGGAAACGAAGCATTCCATCTTAGTCCTCACGGGTGACAACGCATCTGCATTTTGATTCGTAATCGAGGATAGATGTAGATGTCTATGGGCCACAGCAACCACTTACCATCAGGTGGACTGTGTGCTCGTTTGTCACCCTATCCTATAAAAAAAAATTTCTCATCAGCCTTTCCTTTTAAATTCGTACTAACTTGCTTTAGACGATCTTTTATTGAGGCTTCCATAGGACGCGCTTGAACCATATCCGATAGAAGTCCTACTCCAGCGCCTAATGCCTCCTTACCAATCACTCGAGCACCAATTGAAAGTAAAGGTAAAACTGATCTAAATAACCCCCTAAGAAGCTCCCAATACCATGACCGCGTTGGTATGGTGAACCCTTATAAATTACTCCAACTCCTGACCCAGCTTGATGTGTATAATAATTTTCATATGGACATTTATGATGATCACGAAGAGAATTCATTATTATAATTTTCGGAAATGTAGTTTAATACACACGGTTCCAAACTGGAATGGTATTTTTTGTCCTGTGCTCGATCTTATAACTATTTCCAGCGTATCGAACTCTCTTCGCATAACAGGTAAGTAGTGAGGTTGAGAGAAAACGTGCATTTTATTTGCACCATAAATGTATTTTGTAGGATCTAATGAAATGACTCTTAGTAAAGGAGTCATAACATCACCCAGAATCTGAGGATTGATAATGTCGCAATATAGAAATAGTTGAGATGGTAACCCTAAGTGTAAATTAGCAGGAAACTTTCCAAAATTTCTCTCTAGGAGATTTTTATTTGGTTCATAACCTAGTTGTAAACTTAATTTGAGTGATAATGTTACGGATGTTATATTTTTATCCAAAACAGAAATATACACAAATTTTGTTATTTCATCATAGCGAAATTTCAAGTTCTCTCCGATACCATTTAACACTCTTAAAATATGCTCAACGTTATCATAGTTGGTAGCTGGAATATGTTTTTTGTAGTACACTGTGGATGGTTTATCTTCATAAGGCATTAACATAGATTTTGTAATGTATATAACATTTTCATGATCTTGAACAGTAAACATGGTACATGGATATTGAAACTCGACAACTCCAACCGACCATTCACCTTCTAATTTAATAGCTTTCGGTAATTTCGTTGAAAAATTTGTGGTCTTGTTATCAGGAAAGTATTCCATTGAACTATTGCTGAGCAAAGTTAAATAAAATCTTTCTTTATTCATATTTCTTTTAAACTAGAAGCTAAAATCCAACTGTTAAATTTATCTGGATAACCTTTCCACTTCACTAATACTTCTTTTCTGTTACCTGAATAATGAGTGTCAATTATTTTATCTATTTTATACTGTGAGGTGGGGGTTGTAAGTGATTTTCTGTAATTCTCTTTCATAAAAAGTACCAACTATTGATTCATTTTGTAAATCTGTTATTGTATAAATAACCCATGGAGTTCTATCAATTATTGAAGATATAATAAATATTTCATCACTACAATTTGATTCATATCCTTTTTGAAAAACATGTTTATATTTAGTTATTCGAACATAATCACCCACATTGAAATTTAGTTTAGGTATTTCTAAAGAAAGTTTGACCGTCTATCATAAAGATTAGTCCAAACTGTCATAATATTGTTGGAATTTACATCACATGGGCACATCTTAGTACTAGAGTGAAAGCTGTGATTATAAGAGTATATTAAATCTTGTAAAACATCTATATATCTATAAGTATTATAATGAGTGAAATAACGCCACATTTTCATTTTTAGTGTTCTTTGAAATCGTTCAACGATACTGGCCTTAATGTCAGGATTGTTAGTGGTATAGTAATTAATCTTTTTTGGATTTATAGTATTTTTGTACATCTTTTGAAACAAATTCTGTACCTTTATCAGATTATATGTGAGTAGGTGTTAAATTACTTTCAGTAAATATACTTTCAAAAAATTCTTTAGTTGTTTCTGAGTTTTTCTTTTTCATTGGTATTGCAAAAGCATATTTACTAAATACATCAATAACACAAAGTATATTCTTGAAACCATCATTATATTGAGAATAAGTTCGCATATCACTTAAATCAGCTTGCCACAGTTCATTAATATTTGATAGAATGTACCTATTACGCGGGAATTTTTTTCGAATGGGTTTATGTAATGTGTATGTTTCTTGTGATTTTAACCATTCCTTTACTTGCTTTTTATTCATTTTACCCTTCATGGCTTTTGATAATTTATCAATACTACCAAAACCAGCGGGATTAGATGGATCATAATAAATCCTGTTAATTTCTTCTAGTACGGGGTCCATTTTACCCACTCAAGCCTTTTTACGTGTAATAGTGGAGACGAACTGTCCACTATTAACAGACTCCGAGTGGTTTTCTTTAAGGTGGAGAAATGAAACTACTGTTTATAAGCAAAGCGGAGTATGAATTTAGAATGTACTGTCGAATGGGATTCGGAATGGAATATATTTTGCATCAACCTTGCCTATATTTATATGGCTGGCTCACTATTGATTTGCCAATGGTAACAATTAATATTTTGCCTAGCCAATTATATTGCTTATTTATTGACCAATGAAAACTATTTAAAATATACAATTATCTACGTTTCGTTTCCCGGCGTGAGACTTGTTTGTTGTTCACGAAGCTACGTCGCTGGACCGGGCTATATAAGACATGCAGATCGGTGCGCACGCGTAGTCGGCGGGCGGCGGCGGTGTGGAATACAGCTCCGGAACAGCAAGAGGAAACGAACTGCGGCGTTGAAGAAACGGCTCACCATTGGTCGACGGATACGTGACGATAGCGGCGTGTGAAGTCGGTGTGGCGCTGAATGATATTTGCGGCTGCTTCTTGTTTCTTTATAAGAACGTCAAATTATCTATATACAGTCCGCAGTATCTCAGTAGCCAAGAATAATTAGGAAATAAAATGTTTTTTTATTTATTCTCGCCTTCCGCGTTATGGTAGCAGCGGAGTATATATTATTTATTCCCGTTTAGGTTTGATTAATCTGGCTGCTACATCACTCTCCCCCCAGCGAAAGCGTACCGGAGGCTTGACGACTCGCCCGTATTTCGTAGTTTTTAAAATAGGTTTCAACTGGGTTGATGTAGATGATGAAGTTTCAAGCTTCCTCGCTGGTGGTTTTGATGATGATGATGAATCCTCTGCAGTATCCTCGTTAATAATATAGGCAGGCTTTAGTCGGTCGATCGATATAATCGTAGATTTCCTTCCGGGTATTTGTAGTTTAAAAGTCTTGCTATTTCTCTCTAATACTTTATACGGTCCATCGTAGGTAGGTTGAAATTGTTTTTTCATTGCGTCGTTTCTTACAAAAACTTGTTTGCATGTTTTCAAATCTTGGTGAATGAATACTGATTTATTATTTCTGTGTGATTGCATTTCGGTGCATTTCAACGATAAGGCTTTGTTAATTGATTCTCGAAGTTTAGTTACGAAATCGTAATCCATTTCTTGTTTGTTTGACGCTGCTGAACTGAAGAAGTCACACGACAGCCTTATGCTGCAGCCGTAGGTTAGCTGAGCGGCGCTAAGACTAGTGTCTGCACGCGGTGTTGCTCGTAGTCCGAGTAGCACTGTAGGTAGCTCATCAATCCACTTTGTATGTTGAGATAAACGAGTTTTGAGTGCAGTCTTTAATGTACGATGCCATCGTTCGATTATTCCGTTTGACTGAGGATGGTATGCTGTTGTACGCGTCTTCTGTATTCCCATAGTTTGAAGAAGTTTGAGGAATAGGTTGCTTTCGAAATTCCTTCCTTGATCCGTTGTGATGGTTTTAGGTGATCCGAAACGAGTAATCCAATTTTCATAAATTATCTTCGCGACGGATTCGGCTGAAGTATCATCGGTAGGTATTGCTTCTGGCCATCTTGTTGTTCTGTCGATCATTGTTACGAGATAACGATGTCCTTGCGGTGAAGTAGGTAATGGTCCAACGATGTCAACGTGCAAGTGTTCGAATCTCTCCGTGGGTGGAAATGTAGCTAGACTACTTGATGTATGCCTTTGTACTTTGCATTTTTGGCATTGAATGCATTGCTTCGCCCAGTTGCCAACATCCGCTTGCATTGCAGGCCAAAAGAATTTTTCAGTGATGAGTTTTCTTGTTGTTCTAACACCTGGATGACTAATGTTGTGCAGTGCATTGAAGACTTCGCGACGACATTCTTCTGGTATGTATGGTCGCATGGTTGTCGTTGAGGCTTCACAGTATATAGGTAGATGCGTCATTGGCATTGTAACTTGCTTGATGGACAAGTTACCTTGCTTCGATAGATGTTTTATGTTGTCACTATCTCTGTCTTGTGCTGCGGCGATCTTATGATAGTCGATTGATGTAGGGCACGTTACACTGTCGATTGGTACGCGACTGAGTGCGTCGGCAACTATGTTGTCCTTTCCACTGATGTGACGTATGTCGGTCGTGAATTCACTTATGAAAATAAGTTGTCTTGCTCTTCGTGGTGTTTCCGATAGTGATGGTTTCTTTGGAAGTACATATGTTAATGGCTTGTGGTCGGTAAAAACGATCAGGTTTCGACCCTCGAACGTTTTTCTGAAGTGCTTGATAGCCATGTAAATAGCGAGTAGCTCTCGGTCGAATGTACTGTAGTTACGTTGAGTATCGGAGAACTTCTTCGAAAAATATCCAAGTGGTTGCCATTTCCCATTGCTGTATTGTTGGAGAACTGCTCCTGCTGAGAGATCGGATGCGTCGCTGAAGATAGCAAGGGTTGCTTCGTGTGATGGGTGAGCGAGTAAAGCTGCATTTTGGATCGCAATTTTACAAGCTTCAAATGCCTTCGTGGCTTCATCGTTCCATTCGATTGACGTTTTATCTTTTTTCTTCGTGTTGTGAAGGTAGGCGTGAAGTGGTGCTTGGATTTCAGCGGCTTTAGGTATGTGTTCTCTGTAAAAATTTATCATCCCAAGAAAACGCCTTAGCTCTTCGATAGTTTTAGGTTTTGCATAATCGATGATTGCTCTGACTTTTTCGGCAGGCGGTTTTATTCCTTCCTTGCTGACGGTGAAACCAAGAAATTGAACTTCTTGCTGTCCAAATATGCATTTCGAAGGGTTGATTGTGATTCCGTTGTCTTCTAATCGCTGTAGCACGGTGCGTAGATGGGTTTCGTGCGTTTCTTTATCAGGGCTTGCAACAAGGAGATCATCAATAAATGCGAAAACGAAATCCAGTCCATGAAGTACTTCGTGTATGAATCTTTGGAAAGTTTTACCTCCGTTCTTTAATCCTGGGATCATTCTTGGGAATTCGAATAATCGCATTGGGTTAATTATTGCTGTCTTCTCTATGTCTTCATCGCGGACTCTTATTTGTTGGTAAGCTCGGTTTAGATCGATGGTGGAGAATATAGTCTTGTCTGATAGTTGATGAGTGAAATCCCTGACTCGCGGTATTGGGTAGCGGTCAGGAGTGGTAATAGAATTCAGTCTTCTGTAATCTCCACAAACTCGTAATTCTCCGTTCTTCTTCGGTACAATGTGAAGTGGTGATGACCAAGGGCTTTTGCTTGGACGGCATATTCCTTGCTCAATCATGTTTTCGAATTCCTTTCGAACTTGCTCGTATAGGTGTGGTGCGATTGGACGTGCACGACAATGAAGTGGTGGTCCATTGGTGTCGATGAAATGCTCAACGTCGTTCTTCGGTGTTAATTTCATTGAAGTTATTCTTGTGATACCAGGGTATTCTTCGAGGATCTTGTGATACGGTTGCTGCACATCTATGCTTCTTATTGTGGGCAGATTGGTTGCTTGTACAAAAGACTGAGATGCAAGATTGGTTTTCCCGTCGATGATTCTTCTATTTTTGATGTCGACGACCAACTGGTGATGTTGAAGAAAATCAGCACCGATGATTGGTTTGCTGACTTTAGCGACGATAAATCTCCATTTGAATGGTCGGCGTAGATTAAAATCAAGTTCCATTGTTTTTTCTCCATATGTAGGAATAACCGTATTGTTTGCTGCATAGAGTTGAAAATCTAGTGGCTTCAACTTCTGTCCTTGCTTCGGCGGTAACACTGAGGTATTTGCTCCGGTGTCGATAAGGAAAGTAAGCTTGCTTTTTTATCGGTGACGAAAAGACGGTAGGACTTTGCTGTTACGCTGGATCCCGTCGCATCGAGCGTACTAGTTAGTTTTCCGTATTCGTATTTTCATTTTT